ACCAACTCATGTTTTGGTACTTGTGTAAAGCACCTGGCTTTAAGAAGTCAAAACCTATTTAGGTAATCATCAATTGGCTCAGTGACTTTACGTTTGATACTAGCTAATTCTTTTAGGTTGATCTTGGTTTGTCCCATGTAGAACTGTTCGTGAAACAAGCGTTCTAATTGGGCCCAACTATAAACTGAGTTAGGTGGTAAAATGGTAAACCATGTAAAAGCATTTTTTGTGAGAGAGCTTGGAAAGTATTTGATCCTAAGGCTTTCGTCACCTGCTATTTCTCCTGCTTCAATCATATACCTAGCCACGTGTTCGACGGTTGATTCAGTAGTATCTCCTGCAAACATACTGAACTTTGGAATCTTCGTCCTAGGAGGTAACTCAGCTTGAAGAATGTAATTTGCTATGGGTGAAATGTAATTTGGCCTTGTGAAGCCAAAGTTTACACCATTTATGGTCATTATTCTTTCGACCATGGCTGCAAGACTATTTTCTTCTGCCGCATCTTGGTGTCGAACCTGTCTAAGTATTTGGTCAGCATTCTGATTCCTATTCACCATGACTATTCCTGGTTCTTCCTCCGGATGGACCGGTACCTAGTTCCTTTGTGGTTCGACTCTGAAAGGTTCGCCCATCTCTTGGTCTTCCGTGTTCGCCTCAGGTATGTTTCGTTGCTTATATTATGGCCTATTTTCGAAAACGATTGCTCTTTAATCAAATGATGGTACTCCTATAAAATCAACCATACGGGCTAATTGTGTTGCCAATTGTTGATTAGTTTGAGTAGTATTTTGAATTAAAGGTTGAAACACTTCTCCCATTGTCTGAGACAATGTGTGTACCATCTGCATGTTACTTTCATCCATTTGCTGCCTCAAACAGTTTATGGATGTATTTGTAAGACTGGGTGCTTGAACAGAGTAACCAACACCTATGCTTTGGTTGTTTCGACCACCTGATCCAGATCCTTGCACTGGCAAAGATACCATATTTTTTTTGAAAATATGGCTGGAGCATTCTGCAGATTTTGCATCATCGACATGGGCATACCATAAGATGAGTTCCTTGATAATAGTTGTGAGAAACCTGGAGGAAGAAAATGCTTGTATACTGAACTTCCTAGAGGTGTTGGTGAATTAGAACTTTGTGGTCCTATATATTCCAACACGGGTTGAGTGTACGTTCGTACACATGTTAATCCTGGACTGGCCAGAGGCTGCATTTGTTCAGACACAACTACTGGTGGTGGCATCTGTCCTCCCGTCGAAGAAACTGGATATGGAGTATTTTGAGACCCCGTGCTGCTTGACTGAGTATTTGAAATGCTTCCTTGAGGATCAACTTGTTGACTAGCATTTGTTGCCATTCTTTTAGTGTATCTTCTTTTTGGTACTTCTTCGTGTGTTGTGGCTAACTTTCCACTCCTCAATAACATACAACGAAGTATTCACCCACCAGGTGTGCCAATTCATTTATTATGAATTTTGGTAAACAACCGCTGGTCTATCAATTTAGGATAAAATTGAGTAACCTGTAGGATCGATCATACTAAATCCTAGGACATGTGCTAAGCATGCAAAAAGATTCTAATCTGAACTCCACGTTCGACTATGAAATCTTTGTAAAGTAAAGATACTTGAAGATTAAAGGCGATATGTAAAAGAAAGCACGTAATGCGTCGAAGATTAAAGGTAATAACGTAAAAGGTGCAATAATGTAAAGGCTTTGAAAGTAAATGTCGAAAGTAAATGCAGTGATTGTAAATGACTTTGAAAGTAAATGTGCACTAATTGTAAATAAGCAGGAATATAGAAGACTTTGAATGTAAATGACTTTGAAAGTAAATGTGCAGGAAAGTAAATGTCGAAAGCAGTTTAAAATACTTTGAAATTAAAAGCTTGAAAGAAAGTGCATAATGTTAAATTTGCGTGAAATGTAAATGAAAATAAGGTTGCAGAAAAGCTTGAAAAAGGCAATTTAAACATAAAAGCTGAAGGTTAAAATGCAGAATGAGTAACAACGCATAAATGGTAAAGACAAGTAAATTTCATTAATGAAAAAGAGTTGGTGTTGTATCACGTACATTCTCGCTAACTCGTTTCTCTACATGTGGGTACTTTAAGTGATTTGGAGTGACTAGTACAAGATGAATGAACACCCTCATTCCATAAAAATAACAACTATTTATAATGCTAGCAAATAACTACTAAATGACGGTTATGACTTCACAACGTGTCCTTTTGGTGCTTTTTTCTAACTTCAACTGCTCCCACGTTCGTCCACTATCAATTTGAAACTTAGACACTAAGAATTCCCTCCAGCCTTAATGGTAACTGCCCCGCGTTCCTTCTAGCACGATCCTGGTTGAAAGCTTCTCCAACACATGGCATTTTTTTAGAAATCTTGTCAACCTTTCTTCGACTCCTATTTCCTCAAAGTTGTGTCGAAACCTTCATATGTTTTTAGAATAACATTCTAACTTAAGATAATTCTGATTTTTTGCTGGCGTCGAAAATAAGAGCTAACAGTGCTGTAAATAATTTATTTGTAATTATTGTGTGAATCTGTCATTTTCTTAATTAATAAAAGAGAAATTATAGAGACTATTTTGTGTATATATTGTATCATGATCAATGATTGAATTATTACTTTAAAAAATTCTATAAAATTGTCAACCCTAAAAATGTTGGTTAAATATTTCTAAAGGATTTGTTTTTATGCGTAAATTTTTTTCTTAAAGTTTGTTATGTTTTTCTTTGCATGACATTACTTTTTTATGATTTAAAATTATATATAATTTTGTTAAAAGTTTATGTTACTTTTGCTACAAATCATTAAACATATTTAAATAAAATTATAATGTCAATTTAATAATCTATTGGTCAATAATATAACAATATATAGCCACTAAGACATAACCCACCATAAATTGTTTAAGTTAGGGGTGTTGAAAAAAAGCGGAATCAGAACTGAAAGAAAACCGGTTTACCACTTCAAAAGCCCATTTTATCGGGACCAATACTGACCCAAACCATTACATTAAATCTAGAGAATACCCGAACCCATTCCCACATTGAAAAACCGCGTTCTGAAACAAGTTCTCGCTGGAACGGCTACTCCAACGGCGGCAACGTCACTGCTTCTTCCACCCTCCGCCGCCGCCACTTGCATCACCACCGTTGTATCGTTTCAGTTCTGCTTCCATTAATTTCAAGTAAGTGGATTTAATTGATTCTGTGTCTGTACGTTTTAATTTTAAAACCCTAATGCTTGAACTTTGAATGCTTAATTCGAACCCTAGTTGCTAGGATGCCACAAATTGCCGCCATAACAATTTCTACCCCTGCATCTTGATCCCAAATCCCACTGTACACCAACGCCATAATTCTATTTACTTTGAAAATGTTTTTTTGTTTAACTTTCCATTTCATACATCAATTACTGATTCTCTTTTCTTCTGTTATATGATTGTTTGTGATTCCGCGACAGTACTGTTTAGGGATCTTCATAGGTTTTCAGATTGATAGCCCACCACTGTATGAACTCTTTCATTTGCGATTTGATGATATTTGTGTTCAAAAGGGGAACTTAACCCTAACTTATTAGCCTCAATGCAGTTCCTAAAAATACGATTGACTGCTTCCCTCCCTAAGCCTAGTTCTTACTGAAATAAACTTATTATTTACTATCTTCCAGAATAGGTTAAGCTTATATGGGGGAGTTTTAGCTTTGAATGTTTAGGTCAAAAAACAGAATTCCCCACCCTGTTAGAGGTACTGACTTTTGCCGGGGTTCTTCCATGCTTTGATTTTGAAATAGGTTGACTTAACAGAGTCTATTTGGCTGATATTGAATTGTAGACAGAAATAATTAGTTAAGCATGTTATACTGAAAAGTAGGCAATAAAATAGCCACTCAAGAATCATGTTTTTAACAAATTTTGTAGTTTTAAAATTGATGGATGTACTATTAGTTTTTACAGACCTTTTGGATACCATTTATATATACATAATACAGCTATACTCATTTACCTACTTCGTTCCAGTAGATTTCTTCATTACTACTCTAGAATTACGATTTTTGGTTTCTATGTATTTGACTTTTGCTTCTTTGTTTCTTTCCTTTCCTCCAATTGTTTTTTTGAGACGTCAAATGATTTTTTATTTTTTATTTAACACATTTCATTCTAGTTTCTTGCCAAATAAGTCTGATTGATTATTCTGATAGATTAGATTTGATACTGTTGTTTTTTACTGCAAGATTTTCTTATTTTCTATCAATTTTTTCTCCTACAAATTGGATTATTGTACTTGAATGCTCACTCTGATATGTAATGTACTTCTGTTTCATGGCTGCAATTTCATTGAGTTGGAGTTAATTCTGTTTTAGGCATGAAAATGATATGTATTTCTTATGTAGATACTCTTTTTTGTGTACTTGAAATGTTGGTTTCTTTTTTGTGACAAGTGCTTGGAGATGTATCCCAGTTAATAATTATGCTTCTCCAAAAATCCACGAGAATTGTACTGTTTAATACTTTTTGTACTCATTTAACAATTTACTTCAAACTAATTTCCTCCATAATTTCTTGCCAATATATAAACTCTATTTATTTTTTATTTTTTTTGTTGCAATTCAGTTATGTCCAATTTATAATTTGATTACTATAATTAAACTTTGGTTTAGTGGTTTTTTGTCCAAACATTTGTTTGATATATTTTTCACGTGTATTTGGTGTTAGGAATATTTGATATGATTCAGTAAGATTGGAAACAATGCATATTTCTCTTGAAGAAGTAATTGAAAGTGATTTTTCTAATCATATTGGGTAGGATGTTAAATACACTTTTTTAATTTTTGTTGTTGCTGCTGCCTGTATGTAATTTACTTTAATTTCGATAATCATTTATGAAGGCTTTAAAGTAATGTTTTATAACCATGTTTTGTCCTGTAATGAAGGTGTTTATTCTGTTGTCATTGAAGAGGGGCACAGTCTGAAGATGAATGCTCTGAGCAAGCAAAACAAAAGAACGGAAGACGGAGAGGATGAAACTAATAGAGGAGATTCAACCATGTTTGAAAGCGATGTTGTTGATCTTCCTTTGGCCAAAAGTAATGATGATCAACATTTGGTCAAAAACAATATAAGTGAAGATGGCGAGCATGACAAGAAGAAAAAGAAGAAGAAACAGAGTGAAGAAAGAAAGCATAATGAGTATGACCAGTTCAAAGGGGACGAATTTGAAGATGGTGATGACGGAACGGAAATGAAAAAGAAGAGGAGGCTAATTGAAGATGGAGAGCAGTGCAAGAAGTTAAAGAAAAAGAAAAAGAAACTGAGTGAAGAAAGCAAACAAAATGATTATAAGGAGGTCAAAAGCAATGAATGTGAAGATGATGACCAAGGAAAGAAGATGAAAAAGAAGAAACTAATTGAAGGAAACACACTTAATATACGTAATGACTTTAGCAGCAATGAAGGTGAAGATGGAGGGCAGGCCAAGAAGTTAAAGAAAAAGAAGAAACAGAGTGAAGAAAGTGAACAAAAGGATTATAAGGAGGACAAAAGCAATGAAATTGAACACGCCGACCATGAAAAGAAAGTGAAAAAGCAGCGGAAACTAATTGAAGGAAACATACTTAATGTGCGTAATGACTATAGCAGCAATGGAGGTGAAGATGGAGAGCAGGCCAAGAAGTTAAAGAAAAAGAAGAAGAAACTGAGTGAAGAAAGCGAACATAAGGATTATAACAAGGTCAAAAGCAATGAATGTGAAGAAGATGATGACCATGAAAAGAAAGTGAAAAAGAAGAAGAAACTAATTGAAGGTGAAGATGGAGGGCAGGCCAAGAAGTTAAAGAAAAAGAAGAAACTGAGTGAAGAAAGTGAACAAAAGGATTATAAGGAGGACAAAAGCAATGAATTTGAACACACTGACCATGAAAAGAAAGTGAAAAAGCAGCAGAAACTAATTGAAGGAAACATACTTAATGCGCGTAATGACTTTAGCAGCAATGGAGGTGAAGATGGAGAGCAGGCCAAGAAGTTAAAGAAAAAGAAGACGAAACTGAGTGAAGGAAGCGAACATAAGGATTATAACAAGGTCAAAAGCAATGAATGTGAAGAAGATGATGACCATGAAAAGAAAGTGAAAAAGAAGAAGAAACTAATTGAGGGAGGCAGACTTGAGGAGTGTAATGACGTTACAAGCAATGGAGATGGTGACCAAGGAAAGACGAAAAAGAAGAAGAATAAACCAAGTCACAAAAGAAAAAGCAAGGACAATGATTTTAATAGCAATCAAGGTGAAGTTAACAATCAAGGCAAAAAGACAAAGTCATCTGGGTCCAAACAGGTAACTTTTTCCAATCAAGTGGAGGAGTTTTGTTGTGATGGCTTAGTGCGTGGGAAACGTTTTACACCCGAAGAAGATGAGAAAATCAAAGCAGCTGTTTATGACTATATAGATTCTCATGGTCTGGGAGATGAAGGTCTAGATATGGTTCTTCATAGCGCTTCCCACCCTTCAGTTAGAGGTTGTTGGAAGGTTATTGGACAAGCCCTGCCTCATAGGCCTGTGGATAGTGTGTATGCACGTGGTCATGTTTTGTTTATAAACAATGTGGAATTTGAGTGGACACCTGATGAGCGTGAATTTATACGGAAGTCCTACGAGCAACATGGACCTGATTGGAGGGCAATAGCTGATGCTTTGGGTAAAAGTCGATATCAGGTAAAAGATTTGTGGCGCAGATTAAAGTGTACTGGGAGTAAAAAAGGACCTTGGTCCCAAGACGAATATCAAACTTTATTTAATTTAGTAAACCTCGATCTCCGTACAAGGGCTTTAGAGCCTTATAGAAGATCCCAACATGGTATGTTGCGAGATAATATTTGTTGGGAAGCAATTAGTCAGAAGTTGAAAACCCGAGACACTGCAATTTGCTGCACGAAGTGGTATGGACAGTTAATATCACCAATGACTGCAAGCGGTGACTGGTTAGATTCCGATGACTTCCGCTTGATAGATGCTTTATATGCTTTGGATGCTTGCTCCATGGAAGAGGTAGACTGGGACAATCTAATTGAGCATAGGTCTGGTGATGTATGCAGACAACGGTGGGATCAAATGGTCCAACATATTGGCGATCGTGCAGGGAAGTCATTTATTGAGCAGGTTGAAATTCTTGCTAAGAGATTCTGTCCAGACTTATTGGAAGCAAGAGTGGCTTTTGAAAACAAACCTGTGATTTGTTGAGGTTTCTAACCTCTGCCATGGTTTAACTTTGGGTGAAATAATTTTATTAAACCAGAATGTATTGTGCTATGATGTGTACGGTGTTTTTTGTGGGATCATCAATGCTTTTCTGCTGTATTTCAGAAAATAGGCTTAGTATTGGATTTTGAGGGTGATATAGTAATGCTTTCTTGTGATAAAAATTTGACCCTTGTTTTTTTTTCCTATTTAATGTAAGTTAAACTTTGTTTGTAAGTGTTTGTTTTGATTAAAATAATAGTTTGATATTGGCTATTGCTGCCAGTTGTTTATGGCTTGTTAGTCCTATTAAATTACTAGTTCCAATGTGAAAATCATTTAGTGAGAAATAAAATCTCTGCGGCCTATTTATTTGATCAAGAAACAATCTGTAGTTGGTCATAATTATATTTGTTCTTATGAGAATGAAGGAAGTCAGATACATATATTATAGAAGCTGTGCATGTTCTAGCTCTCAGAATGTTTTGGCACTAGCATAGGGAAAAATTCAGTGTAAATTATGCATTTGTTTCACTGCAAAGACGGTGTTCATGTTACTAGTCATAGCATTAATTTCAAATGTATCTTGCTTGTACTAGTCTGTTGCGATTTGTTCACTGTTTCATTTGATGACTCAAAATGTCTTATATCAGACAAGAAGCAACAAATATCAGGGCATGCATTGGGGAATCTGCATGGAGAAGAGATGTGGAATGCATCAAGCAGGTTTAGTTTTCTATTATAGCAAATTGTTTTACAATCTAATTTTGTGCATATCTTAATACAATTTGATGTATAGATGCCTCAAGTCAAATGAAAGTTTAACTTTTGATATTCAAGCCCTTCATACCATTTAGCATTTTTGGAAAGCTTATGATGTCAAACGACAGTTTGTCAAATAGCTAATTCTTTTGAACAAACATTCTAAAATCTTAAGAAAAAGTTTATGTATGTTTTAGAACAAACATTCTTTGCTTATTTTTTCATTGAAACTGAATGTTATGAACAATGGACACCCCTTGAATTTCTGGAAGCAAGTTTTAGCTATTATCTGAACTGGATTTTAAGATAGACTTAGCTTTTGAGCTATTATGTCTGCTTATGGCCGTAAAATGGAGCATATATATTCTTCAAGGAGTCTCTCAGTAGGTTTTGGGTTTATCAAGAGTTATTCACACTTATATGGTATACTGATGAATCATGTAAAGACATATTTTAATCCTGTTTGTGTATCAAAAATGTCTTTATATGGTTGATGATGAGCATGGGTTTGTGAATTATTAATGACGAGGGGCTAGTTATTATGAGGAACTCAGAAGCACACGTTAATGGCGGAAATAGTGACCATGCCAACATCCAAAACAATGCATTAATTATTTAAACTATTTATCTAAACATTGTTTATTTAATAATATATCTAAACTATCTATTACATAACTTAATGTTCAATTTCTACAAATATATATAAAACTAAAAAAGTTTAGAAAAATCATAAACTTGTTAAATGTGAAGTTAGTATGATGTTGAGTGAATTTTTTGATCAATTTAATGTTGACGGAAGAAGTTTTGAAATGAGTTGAATAATTTTGAGTGAATGTGAGTTGAGAGATTAAGAGATTTGAGAGGTCAAGAGCCTGAGTATTTTGAGAAATTTTTTATATTTAAATTATTTTTTTATTTTCATATATATTTTGGTACTCATGAGTTTTGATGGAATACTAATAATTTTAATTTTAGTATAAATATGTTTAAAATTTTAATTTATTTTAAAATAAAATAATATTGAAATATGATATGATATTGAATATAATTATTTTATCATAAATAGAATAATAGATTTATTTTTATGCATGGGACAAGTTTTTACACATCCAACTAATTATATATATTTTTATGAGTAAAAGACGCTCCCTTTCCTTGAGAGATGTCCCGGGTTACTAACGAGTTGGCGGGCGGGCCCGTCAATTATTTTTTTTACAATTTGATTTACAATATAATTTATAAAATGGTTAAACATTACAAAAAAGACCAACAAATTTTAATAATACATAGTAAAATTTTAACAAGGCTTAATGCAAATGTCATATTCTAAAACATAAACAAACAATATAACTATAATACCAAAAACTTAAAACAAACACAACAAAATCTCAAAATTTAAAACTCTATTATCATAGTGAGAAACAAACTCCTATGTGAAAAATTTATCTTATAGCTTTAGAACCCGACTCCAATGACAACGAGTAATAGAAAATAGAAAAAATGTATTCTCTATGTTTTGCAATAATGACTTTTTTTACTATGAGTGAAAATAAATAACGAAGGAGATATTAATTATTGTCTTCAAAATGAGGTGTTTGTGGTTATGTGAAAAATGAATATTAGAGTTTGAAGAAATGAGGGTTATTTTAAAAATATATCTACTACATACCATGTTAATATTGTTAAGTTCAAATAAAAAATAAAATTTTAAACAAAAAGCCTGTGGGCGAAACCCGCTTCGCCCCGCTATCGGTCCGTTTTAAAAGTGGGTTAGGCGGGATGGGGCAACTTAAGACACTGAGGTAAAAACCTCGCCCCGACTCACCGAAAATGGTAAGTTAAACGGGTGGGTCCGACGGGTCCAACCCGTTTTACCACCCCTAGTTAAAATAAACATTATCCTTTTCTTTTATGTAAAGTATGTTATATTTTTCTCTCTTGAGAGATGTTTATCTTACACTATATTCTTTTATTTATTTATTAGTCTAGTTGTCAAAATTTTACCTACCCCATTAAAGGTAAATAAGTAGGATGTTGCATGTTTTAACATTCATTCATGCAATCACATGCCCCGTTTAAACGTAAATAAATTATAAATTCACATCCCGTGTTCGACAAAATATATTAGAAAAAATTGTACTCTTCTTCCATAAAATATGAATAAATTACACTATTCCTCTGCCTTAGATTAAAAAATATATTTTCATTCGTCTTTTATAAGTTAATCTTCAATCTCTTGTTAATTATTTTAGTCTAATTTAATATGTTTAGACTTTTATGTGTGAAGCCACGTGAAACTACTCCAGTCATAGCCAATGTGATTTGTGGGATCTCATTTAGTTGGTTACTTTTAATATTTATCACTTCTACGCCCCTAGGTCATTCTTGATGTTGATAGGGAGTTTCTCCTACAATTGTTATGCCTCCTCCTCAATGTTCATTAAGAAGATTAGTCCTTCCCATTTGCTGAATGTCCTCCATGCTTTGTATTAGAAGGAAATGCTCTATTGGCCTCTTGGTTAGTCTGTGGATATTTCTTGGTTTTCCCCTCTTTTTGTTTCCTAGTTTGGTTTCTTTATTTCCCTTTCTGCTCTCAAAACATCTGTCATAAATTGCCTTACTGGTGGCCATATTTACCTCGTATTGTATGACCTTTTTAGCCTTTGGCAATAGACTATTAAAATTTTTACGGCTCTAATTTCAATACTTTCGAAGAATTTAGACCTTTGTTGGAGTCTTAGACTTAACAAGTACTTCTTCATCTTATTGTCGACGCCCATGACTAGTATCACTTCTCCATTGAACCTCTGGATGTAGGATCGTAAGTGTTTGCCTTTCCCTTTCCTGATGGATCTCAGGCTTTCCACTAACACGAGTTGCCTTCTTGACGTCTTCAAGTGTACGGAAAGCAAGCACTTCAAGGGGTGAAAATTCGTTGAAAGTATTAGAACTACAATGATATATCTTTTATGAACTTCATGGTGTTGAGAAGACAACCCAAGTTATTGGAAATCTTAGGATCCATCAAACAAAGGAAAGACAAGTCAATATGAATATACATCGAGAGGTTCAACGTAGAAGTGATACTAGTTAAGGGTGCCCATAATGAGAGGGAGAAGTACATATTAAGTCTATGACTTAAATCGGGGTCCATATTCGCCAATAGTATTTTAATCAAGTATCTCACGTGCCTCTCTCATATGGTAATCTAGAACGTCCCTCACCTCATATCCATCCGAAAAAATTTCTCTATATATACCCGCCTGCCTAATCTCCATGATACAATGACAACTAGGTAACACATCAACAACATGATCTACCCTAGTCTGCTTCTTGTCACACCCTAATTCTTAACCCTAATATTCCACCTTATTTTGCATAATCTTGCATCATGTTAGGTCAATCATCCATACATAACTAACCAGGTTATCAAAATTTGTTTTGTTTGCTTTTGTTCATCTGTGAATTAGGGTTTATTCCAAGGAGGTTAAGAGATTGATCAATCAAATTTTGGATGAAACATAAACCAAGAAATCTATCCCACTCCTAGAAGGATTATCTTTATCAAATGTCAAAGATAAAATGGACTCACATCAAGTACTTCAAAGATTCAATTGCACCTAATCAAGAACTAGGATTTCCACAATCAAAGTCAACTTCATCTTTGACTTTTGGTCAAGACATGGTCCCAAGCCTTGAGACATGATTCAAGACACATAAATACACCCATGAGGTCCATTTGCGATGTTCAAGTAGCCCAAGAGGTTATTGTTGTTGAAGATTAAGAAGTGAAGATTCACCTGATAAAAAGTCAATTGTTCCTCTAATTCAAGGTTTGACTTTTTAGAGTTTTGGCCAAACATGCCTCCCTCAAGTCAAGGATGATCATAAAATGTGGTTTGGATCATGATGAATCAAGAAATTGGAGGTTACTTGCAAAAAGGACAACATTAGGAAAGTTAAATTTTTCTAAGTTATGAAGAAAAACCTAATTTGGTATCAACTTGCCAAGGGCATAACTCACAATCTAGATATCCATTTTCCTTGATCCAAAGATCAATTTGAAGAACACTTACCATACTACAACTTTGTCAATATGACTGAATTCCCAAAAAATGCATGGATTTCAAGTTATGAGGGCATAAAGTTATGAAAAACAAGATTTTGAGATCTCATACTTAGAAATTTTCTAAGTAGGAATTTTAACTTGGAGGGTGAGTTTTCAAAACTTTCTTTCTCAT